GATACTTGAGCTTTCAAGTGGCACAAAAACGAACACAGGGAGTCTTGATAAAGCCTGCAGTGTAAATGTACACGCACTTATATACAGTGGGGGAAATAAGTATTTGACCCCTTGCTGATTTTGCAGGTTTGCCCACTTACAAAGAATGCAACGATCTATAACTTTAATCATATGTACATTCTAACAGTGAGAGACAGAATCCCAAAGAAAATTCCAGAAAATCACATCATATGAATTTATAAAAATTGATAACCATCTGATGAGGAAAAATAACCATTCTTTGTACCATAAGTGGGCAAACCTGCAAAATCAGCAAGGGGTCAAATACTTATTTCCCCCACTGTATCATACGGGTCCTAGTTCCTGAGCTTAGAAAAGGTCATAACCAGGCTTTTCCAACAAGGCAAGGCAGAGCCTATTTCTATTGTCTATTCAAAAACCAATGTGTTACGGAAGACGACAACAAGACGACATCCAAAACTTCCTCTGTACCCTCTCTTACTCTCTTACTTTGCTGTCACCACTGACTCTGACTGGCGATTTTCCTCCAGAAAGCTGGTTGTCATATTGATGCTAACTGTAAAATTGTGTCTACTTTGGATAAAAGCGTCTTCTAAATGCATATCCATAAACAAGGAGGTTAAATATAGAACGCTCTCTGTCTGTGCCCAGGCTTGGATTGATGATCAAATTAAAATGTGTTACTTTTGAATGTCCCCTTGGGGATCAATAAAGTATCTATCTATCTATCTATCTATCTATCTATCTATCTATCTATCTATCTATCTATCTATCTATCTATCTATCTATCTATCTCTCTATCTCTCTATCTCTCTATCTCTCTATCTCTCTATCTCTCTATCTATCTATCTATCTATCTATCTATCTATCTATCTATCTATCCAAACAAACAAACAAACAAACAAACAAACAAACAAACAAACAAACAAACAAACAAACCTAATTTGGGTTTTGAGCAGCACTCCCGGGAAGATGTAAATCTTATTTCTCTGGATTCCTCACAGATTCGACCAAAGCCAAACTGAAATGGGACCCGGAGGAGGTGCGTGCGGTGGAGGGACACCTGGCGGGCTTCATCCAGGAGGGCCGGGTGCCCCAGAAGAGCGACTGCGTTCGGTGCCTGGAGGCCGAGCCGCGGGCGCTCAGGACCCGCTCCTGGAGAGGAATTAAGGACTACGTCAGGAACAGGATCACCACCCTGCAGAGGCAAAGGGGCTCTGCCTCTAAAAGCCTTTCCTCACCAGAGGAACCGCCACAGAGTGCCAGGACTTACCAGCAGCTGTAGTTCATTACTCACACCCAAACTGGATTATGCTTTCCCTAGTTCAAAATCACAGGAGAAAGTCGGATAGTTTTTTGTGTGTAGCTGTTCTCTTTGCTGCACATTTTCCTCTGTTTTAGTGTCTGAATACTAGTTTGTTTGAAATGATTCATAAACGGTTTTAAATGATTGTTTATACAAAGAAAGTCCATGGAAAATGTTTTAAGTTTGAACAATCACAAGTTGGCTGCTGTTGTCGCACCTTTTTTTTTTTTCAAAAAATAAAGTTCTAAGGGCAAGATTGTGGTAATTTGTGAACAGTAATGGATGATCAGTATACCACATATTAGATGGACGTGTATGAAAAATGCTAATTTTGAAGAAAAATGTACTGCCAATGATGTTTAACCAGTTTTTGTTACAAAAACAGAATTGGGATAATGCTCGTAGCTTTTTAAGAAAATATATTGTGTGAAAAAACAGCCTATCTTTACTGAAGGTTTTATAAGGAAATGCGCAATATGTATGAAAATATTTAAATGTGAAATGCCATCCAGCACAAGCATTGAACAACCCCTGGTAAAGAATACAGAATCAATACTTTTCCTGAGCATAATCGAGGTTCGATTGACCAAATAGGTTCTTCTTTAACATACCTACAGCTAATCTGTGATGTATCAATAGTCGGATTAGCAGAAAAATACATGATCTGACAGTGGAAATATTGGAAAGGGTTCAAAAACTCAATAAGAGGTGCGAGTCGTAGGGCAAAATAACCAGATTAATCTTCGGTAAACAAAATAAGGAGTTGTAAAAAAATATTTATTCAGACTGACCAGGTAATGAGCAATTTAACTGGTCGACACTAACAACTTTATTTGAACCCCACAGGCTGGATCATTTCTCAAACTTATTTGAAAATAGAAACTGGGCGACAAAAGAGATGGCAAAAAAGGGCCAAAACAAGTCATGACAAGGAATACAAAGATATATTTCCATTTACACAAGCCCAACATACACCATCACAAATATCTAAATAGATTTTTTTTAAAAGCTGAGTAAAACAAGGTAACAGTGGATTAACAAGCTGTCATGGACTGTGATCACAGAAATCTGCCCTGGACGAGGGCAAAATATTATGATGACGTAAATGTGCAAATTTACACAAAATCTGGTAATATGGGGCTAATGTCAGGTGGAGCAGGAGCAGACATTTAGGTAAACATACAGGGAGACATATGTAAATTTAGGATAGAGCCAGAATAAAATGTATATGTGACTTTTCTATTTTAACAAAAATACTGAGGTCCTGATTCCATAGGTCTGGGGGCTGAGAGAGGGACATGAGATGTTTTTTAAATAGCTATACGCTAACTGTATCAAACCCAATCTGAGAGCAAGCTGGATATTACAACGTATTACACGTTTAATGCGGTTGTCTTTTCCCTTTCAAAATATCTCTGTGTTTACATGCTTTTACTTTGGAAGGGTGTCCGGAACCAGTTCTTTTTTTTATCGCTGGCTTTTTTCGTGTAAAAATTGCTTTAGCTGACAGGTGCTGACTGAATTAAATTCTAGCCTTTACCAGGCAGAATTTTGTCGTGACATGTGTCTATAAACTGCATTTAAATCCCAAAAAGGTTTCGGAAGGGGGAAATGAAGACGCCTATCCTCGCACGAGCTCCCCTTTTCCCGCAGCTGTTAGAGGGAATCAAGCCTAATTTCTACTGTCTGGCCAAACGTTGTAAGTGGATTATTCAGCTTTTATTTTAACCGCGTGGAGTTCCTTTAAAGACATTTTAACCTGTAGAGACACCTCTTAATGTTGGGCTAATATGTGCTAGCTATTATTTGCTAGCAAGCAACTATTAAATGTAATATGCTGTCAATGACGAAAGCATTATAATTGGTACCGTAAATTGACATAACAATTACGTTACGTTAAATTAGTAGTCGAGGTGGCCTCGTAATATTTTCAAAAACCGTCTAAATGTCTTATTTTTCTCTGAGTTTCCGTTTTATCATAATATATATTCCTTAGCATAATTAGAATAGGCAGAAAACACCAAAGACCCTAAGCACGTTTCAGATCAGGTGATTGCAGATATCGCGAGAATAAAAAAAAGAAATCCAGACTAAAATAAACAGGTCCTGATTAAGTTAGTTATTATGAGGCAGACTTTGCAATTCTAGGCAAGGAAAGTTTATTTTACAGCACATTTCGTGTACAAGACAATTCAAAGTGCTTCACAGAGAATTTAAAAGCAGGAAAACAACAAAAGAAAAATAATAAAAACGAGATAGATTCTGGATAGATTCTAGTGGACACATTCTAATGGACACATTCTAATGTATTGATTTCTGGTTTTATTTTCTGTTGTAGCTGCAGGTTGTGCCTCCAAGGAGAAACAAATGTAGAAATGTTTATGGAGGATGATGGATGTCCCTATACCCGACCAGAGACCCCCTCCCTGTCAGCCCTGGGCTGTCCAGAATGGCTGGCCCAAGCTCACACCTCCAGGATCCGTCCACCACCCACTGCCTAGCTTCCACCAGCTAAATCTGGGCTCGCCTCCTGACCAGAACCCCTGCTTCAGCCACCTATCCAGCGAGCCCCACCCCAGAGATCCTGCCGCCTGGTCCCCTACAAAGCGAATCGTTCCCGGGGAGAGTCACGGAAGGATCGCACCTCCCTTTTCTCTTCCTCTTACAAATGAAGCGACACATCCCCGCAACTCCCAACAACCTTATTCGTCTCACTGCTCTTTCCAAGCTGCAGCCCCCCCGTACCAGCTACTGCATTCATACCAGGTTCCTGCGAATGGACCTCAGTCACTGTATCAAACTCTTACCCCCGGTG